TTGTCAGCGACCTCCTGATCCCAATCACAACGCTTGCATTCTCTATCATCTCCTTTGCAACCTGTTCGTGGATTGGAGGCGAGACTTTCTGCTCAGTAACTGTGTTCATTTCCACCACTTTTCTAAGCTGGTCTTTTGTTATAGTGTTTATAATGTGCCTGCTTCGTTTTCTGGCAGTTACAAGGCCTTTGTACTACAGAAACCAAGTTACATATGTGAGAGTGCGGAAGACTCTGATAGTCGGTCCGTTATGGCCTTGCGCTCACCTTATTCTTCCTGCTGCGGGCCTCAGAAAGTTTCGTTTATACAGTAAAGGACTGTACTGTGCTCCCGATTTAACAACAGAGGAACCAAATAATAAGATTCTACGGTTGTGGAAGGAAGCCTAGTCACTTTGGCTGTGTCGTATTTCTGTGCCACTATCTTGTGTTTTGTAAAGAGGAAGCGAAGAGTAAGCAGTTTGCTCTCCGAACAGCAGCGGCGAGGAGCTGGCATCGAGAAAGTTGACAGGCAACAAGGAGGATTTGCACGATTAACTTTCGTGATTGTTGTATTGTTTTGTATTTGTTACGTTCCATTCTTGATAATTATTTATAAAGGGTAATTTTGACGAGCTTGTGTACGGCTGCGGGTAAGATTTTCATTCAATAACTGAAATTATATCTATAGTCGATGTGAAAAATTTTCTTCTTCCAGCCGACAGAAATTGCCAGAAATTGCAAAATTTGTGGTTTATATTTCCTGTAATATTTTTTGTCTCAACCGGCTAATTGGCGTCATCAATTGATCACCCAAAAATGCAAGATGTAGCGATTCGTCAACGTTTCCGCGGATGGTGAAACGAAATTCTGAGCAAGAAGAACATGCAACAACCTCACTGTAATAATATAAGAAAATATTGAAAGAACCAAATTTTAATTACTAAGGATCGTTGATAAACTCTTCTTGTTGTGTGAGAAAAGCTGATCAGTTTGAAAATTTTGTCGCAAAAAGCTGTTGCAAACGCGTGAAATGGTGGTTGGGCGAGAAATTGTACTTGACAGGTAAAAAAAAAATGCCATTTATCGCTATAGTTTGAGTCCACCTTAGTCTACTAGACCGCTCTTGGGTTATCGGTCTACGGGTGTAACGACCCACAAAGGATGTTGAAAGAACGTCCCTGAGTCAGAAGGTCTTCCAAATCACGAGCCGAAGGCGACTGACTCTCAAACGTTTCGAGTGTCCATCACGTTTGATTAGATATAAATAGTATTTACTTTCTGAAACACAGGCATACACTCGAGTCTTTTATTTCCGCCGTTAGTCTTCCCCTAAGATTTTCTGAGATGAAAGTTACCTCTTTCGTAACCGCACAGACCGTGTATGCTAAAGTTGATTTGATGTGCCCAAACTTGCTCATTCAACGTGTTCAAATTTGATGGCTGACGGGGAAAAAAATCAGCGTACCCTATTTCAATGTTATTAACTCATTTTTAATATATTTACTTCAATTATTTTTTAGATGAATACAGACGAAGCATAGAGTTGAGGAAGATATCCGCGTTTTCTACAAGAACACAAAACACAATATTTGTTTCTGGGCAACCGAGCTCGATATCGATTTGTCGTACTCGATTACCATTCCTGCTCGATAAGCAAACGAGGACCACATTTAGTATCTGGGCAACCGAGCTCGATTCATGTTCACCGTACTCGAATAGCAATTCGAGTACCATTTCAAACCAACCTCGGTTCAACGAGCTCGAAATGCAGTCAATTCTATTCGAGTTCGATTCAACTATATCGTGCTCGATTAAAAAGACGAGCTCGACGAACTCAATCTGCTCTAATGTGGTCCATTTGCTTATCGAGCAGGAATGGTAATCGAGTACGACAAATCGATATCGAGCTCGGTTGCCCAGAAACAAATATTGATCCCAAAGATTTCCGCTTTCAGTTTCTAAAAGTAGGGAAACCCACTAATTATAATGTGACTTCCCTTTTGACGTGTTTTTAAAAGGTTGAAACGTTCTTTCCAGGCTAGTA